AGAGGGGGAGCAGGACCTCCCTTGTTTGCTGCACACACTTTTCTTAATGCAGTAACAAACATACTTACATTTGTTAGTGGGGCGTGAGCAAACATTGAGAACCCTTCGAAGATATATTCATGGTCATCATACTCAATAACAGTAGGTCGGTCTGTCTTAAAAAAGCAAACAGAACCATCACAGAGTAAGCAGAAGCAGTACTACTTCCATCGCTGAACACAAAACTGGAGTCCTAGTTAGAATTATCTGTAGAGCACTTACTAAGAAGTTTGTGGGAGGCGACACAGTAATTCGATAGTGGTATAGTCTTCCAGCGTTGTTGGTCATGGGGCGACATGGTTTAATGGGCTTAAAGAAAGAGATAAGTACAATTATGTGTAGAGTCAAGGCAAATTTAGATTAAAAGAGAGAATAAAGCATTTCTAATAGCCATGAAATATGCACTACGAAAAATTAAATAAAAGCAGGTAGTCATAATTAAGCATTCTAAGAAGAGCAAAAGCGAGGCCTTATCTACATTTTCACTTTCAGAAATATTTTGAAAGCTATTCAAAAGGAAAAAAAGTGAAAAATATTGCTGCAGTTTTTTTTTTTTTTCATTTTCCATTTGACTCTCCATCTTCTTACACAGAAGTTGTTTATGTACCAGACTAATCTCCTCTTTTATATAAATTTGTTTCAGGAAACTGATTTTAAAAGCTTACGAAAAGGAACCTGGAGCTAACATGAAAAGACCTCAAAGTATGTTATCAAGATAGACAGGTATCAGCTCATCTGCTTGGAGCCAATCTGTAGCCTGAGCAGAAGGGTATCAGCACAGAGGCAGCTCTGGTAACTCTGCTCTGCCTGTCAGGCTGCAATGCCTGCCTGTGAGGTCCAAAGGCAGACAGCCCCCCATGCACGCTGATGCAACACCAAACACCTGAGCTCCATGTTTTCTTCCAGCTCGTTCCAAAGTAGCCCAGTTTAAAGACCTAAAAATCCTCAACAGTCAGACCAAAGCAGTTTCTTGTATGCCCTGCAGCCAACTTGCTGCAGTTCAAAGGCTGCCACCAGCCTGTTTGGAATACATCTGTCTGCACAGAAAAAAAAATCATCATGACAGTGAGTGGGGTACTACTCTAAAAAGTGTTACAACAATCAGCCTGATTGCACTGGCAAGAAAGCTACACCACTGTGCAGCTCTGTGCACTTCTGCAAAACCCATCCAGTAAGGAGGGCAATCACCCTGGCTGTTCAGCCCCAAATTAAGGTTCTCACTGCTGCAATAAGACAGTTACAAACCAGCTAGTTTAAAAGCTAGGCAGTTTTCTCTACAGGACATTATCAAAACTAGTATATCGTAGGAGGTTTTCTGAAACCTCAAATTCCCAGCTGGCCTTGCTCCCGGGAGAAGCTGCCTTCATGCAGCAAGTTCTCCTCCTAGATTTCTCCCTCCTTCTCTGCAAGAAAAACACCAGAGACAATGCAGGGAGGAACGGATTCTGAACTGGAGTGATTTCTAAAAAGCTTCAGACCAAAGCCATTTTGCTAACGGGAATAATTCACAGAAACATTCATAAATCCTTCACTGCAGAGAACTAAAAGAATGTTTCAGTAAATATATGTAAAAAGACATACTGAAAAATAGAATTCTTTAAGAAAAATTACAAACCTAAATTTTTAAACCTACACATTCATGTTCTCCAAGGCTTCCATAAGAACAAAGTCTTTTAGAATAAAAAAGTTTGAGGTCATCCCAGCACTGTTTTATTTTCAAGAAACAAGACAGGTCAAGCATGCTCTGCACAAATGAATATTTCTAAGGA